TAGAAGGAGGGAGAATAGTAGTTTTTTAGGTTTTAGGATCTTTATTAGGAGTATGGATATGCAGGATGGGGGGTTTTTAGGGTTATCCTTTCACTTGGGCCAATAATAGACAGGGGGAGGGTTTTGTTGAGGAGAGGTTAGATAGAATCTTCTTTTCCCTAGGATGGCTTCACAGTTTTCCAAACTCCAGAGTTAGTCATATTCACCTTATTGCCTCCTGTTGTTGGATACATCATCAAATTCTAAGAGGAGAAAGAAAAGGTTCACATATGATGAAAGATGGCAAAAACAGGAGCAGTTTGGGAAAGTGGTGGAAGTTGCCTGGAATTCTCAAAGGCATGGAAAAGATTTGGCTGGTATTCAAAACAGACTAAGGGATGTTAGGGTTGCCATTCTAGGATGGAAATCTAAAAGCAAGACAAATTCAGCACAAATGATTGAAGAGCTCACAACTAAGTTGAATGGTATGGTGCAGCTGGGCAGGGAGAGGGATTGGCAAGAATGGAATCAATGCAAAGCTGGTCTTCATCAAGCCTATATGGATGAGGAGATTTACTGGAAAAATAAGGCTAGAATTAGTTGGCTAAGGGCAGGGGACAAGAACACAAGCTACTTTCATGCATGTGTTAATCAGAAAAGGAGGGTCAATAGCATTGAGCAATTGATCAGAAGTGATGGGTCCAGATGCAACACTGAAGAGGAGACACTTGAGGAGATCCTGAAATTTTTTGAAGAAACTTTTATGTCCTCCAATCCAAACATCAACAACTGCAGTTTAGAAGGGATAGAAGCTGTGATTGGAGACCAGAAGAACCAAACCCTTACACAAGCTGTCAAAGATGAAGAAATCACAAAGGCCCTTATGGAAATGCATCCTCATAAGGTTCCAGGTATGGACGGTTTTACCCCTCTATTCTTTCAGTCTAATTGGAGTCTTGTCCAACATGAGGTAGGGGTTGCCATTAGAACTTTTTTCAATCAGAACAAAATTCCTAAGAATTTGAACCACACCATTATCACTCTGATTCCAAAGATTAAAAATCCTCAAAAGGTCACAGATTACAGACCCATTAGCTTGTGTAATGTAATCTATAGGTTGACTTCTAAAATTCTGGCCAATAGGATTAAATTAGTTCTTGATGAGTGTATTTCCCCCAACCAGGCAGCCTTTGTGCCTGGTAGGCAAATTATTGATAATGTGGTGTTGGCAAATGAATGTGTTCATTTTCTAACAGTAAAAAAAAAAGGGAAGGTTGGGTTTATGGCTATTAAATTAGACATGGCTAAGGCTTTTGACCGTGTTGAGTGGTCTTTCTTTGTGCTGATTCTCAGAAAGATGGGTTTTTGCCACAAATTCATTGGCTGGATTCTTGCCTGTATTGACTCTTCTTCATTTTCATTCCAGATCAATGGTCAGCCCCTTGGATTCATTAAATTTTCTAAAGGGTTAAGGCAGGGGGACCCCTTTCTTTCTGAGGCTTTGTCTAATTTAATCAAACAGGCCTCCATTCATAAACAATTCCATGGTTTCAAAATGATTGTTAATATTACCGCACCCATTTTTACTATTTACCGCACCCTTAAAATACTGTTTTGCCCTTATTAAAAAATAATAATAAAAAATTCAATTTTTAAATTTATTTTAACATTAAAAAAAAAATATAATCTTACAAATTGATAAATGTGGCCAATCAAAAGAATGTTATAACACAAAATTCGAAAAAAAAAAATCATAAAATTCGAACAAAATTAAAAAAAAAAAAAAAAAA